TCCCAGACTGCGAGAGGGCACAGGCCGGGCTGAGGGACCCCCTTGCCCCCCCGAGTGCACAAATTTTTGTGCACCGGGCCTCTAGTTTTTTATAAACAGCAAAGTCTTTTTATATTTTCAATGGATTTAAGAGGCTAGATCCAATATCAGTTGTTGATATTTTCTTCCAGTATTTTTATAGAACATAGATTCTCACTTTAAAAATATTTGAAGAGATGCCCAGTTGAGGGATATAATTACACACCTGTAAAAAATATTTATCTGAAAATGGTCAACAGGTGATGGATGTACAATATATGCTAAAGTTTGTGGACGAAAGTTGGAGGAGATACAGGATTTGCATAATCTTAAAAAATCTCCTCAAGATATTTATTAACTACAAAGGGATAAAAAGGTAACCTGACAGTGGAGAATCCTAGCAATCACTAAATTATCCAAGTGATCAAGGTAAACGTCACTAATATGGTGAACTGAGAAGGACACAGCATTATTCTTCTGGTTTTCTTCCCCAAAGTGCACCATCTCCCTCCAACTGGAATGCATCACACAAAACCAGATCAATGGACATCCTATAAAATAATAGATACTCTTCAAAATTTTCAAGGTCACGAACACTAGGGAAGACCAAGGGACTTTAATAGACTAAGTATAAATAATAACTAAATGCAACATGAATCCTTGGGTCTGATCCCAGAACAGAAAGAGGACATGGGGACGGGGAGGGGGGGGCGGAATGGATAAAATTCAAAAAAAAATTGTAGTTTAATTAATAAGACTATGTCAATGTTATATTTTTTATTCCTGATAGTTGTACTATGGTTATGTAAGATGTCAACATTACCAGAAATGGGTTGAGAGATATAAAATGACTTTTTACTATGTTCGCAACTTTTCTGTAAGACCAAAATTTGTTCAAAATAAAAGAAATTTTTGGAATTAGGTGCTTAAAACATGAAAGAAAGAAAAGGAATTATCAAATATTTTTTGAGTCCCTACTATAGGCTAAAAACTGTTCTAGACATAGTCATGAATGAGTCAAATTCCCCACTATCTGACTTATACTTCCTTTGCAAATATTGAACAAATAAAAAGGAAAAATTGAGCTGTTAAATACAAAGTGAAATAAATTTAATAAGTATAAATTTAATAAATATTATAATGTCTGATTGAAATAGCCTATGAACTATTTTACCAAGATTCCTGATGGGATTTACAAATTACATACCAGATATCTACCCCACCCTCTGTTCCCTCTGCCAGCAAGCCTGCCATCTAGTGATAGGATGGGGAATTACAACAATATATCTACAACCTCTAAATCAGTGGTTCTCAACCTTCCTAATGCCACGACCCTTTAATACAGTTCCTCATGTTGTGGTAACCCCCAACCATAAAATTATTTTCGTTGCTACTTCATAACTATAATTTTGCTACTGTTATGAATTGTAATGTAAATATCTGATATGCAGGATGTATTTTCATTGTTACAAATTGAACATAATTAAAGCATAGTGATTAATCACAAAAACAATATGTAATTATATATGTGTTTTCCGATGGTCTTAGGCGACCCCTGTGAAAGGGTCGTTCGACCCCCAAAGGGGTCGCGACCCACAGATTGAGAACCGCTGCTCTAAATTAATGAGTCAGCTAAAAACTAGGGATTACAGGATTGTAAGAGGAGCTGTGGCAGAAGCAGTCTCTAAATTGACACTCTAACCTCTCCTCCAAAGTCCACAAAGGTACTGAGTAGCATGTAGCAATAGCGCAGAGGGTAAAGCATGGACTCAAACCTTGGCTCTGCAACTAACAGTGTGACATTAGACATGTTACTGACACTCTAAGTCAGAGTGACCAGGTGACATCACATACAGTTATGGGGATAAAATTGATAAAATACTTAAAATGGTTCCTGGCATGCAATAACAGTTCAATAAATGGAAGTTTTCATTGATGTCATCCTCATGAAATGGTAGTTTTCATGGATGTCTTCCCACAGCACAGATATATCTTATATACATCTCATGTCATTGTCTCACCCACTAGGAGAAGCTCACGACACACCAATTGACACACAGAGTTACCTTGAGTGTAAAAGCTGCATAAAATTTAGCTGAATAACTGGTCAAATCGGTTACATTATTTAATGCAATGAGGTTTAACTTTTGACCATCCCTAGCAATTTTACTTCATTTGAATGGTGTCCTAACAAATCAGCAACCACTAAACAGCTCAGCTCCCTGTCAGCAACACCTTTCACTCAGTTAGACAGGCTGAAATTCCCCTGGCACTTGTGACAATTGTTGCATTGAGTCAGCTGATCACAGTGGTCATTGACTCTCCTAAACTGTAACTTAGATGTTCTGGGGAACCCAGCTCAACACAAGGTGTACCTTAAGCCATCTGAGGTATGTGGGAGTATACAGACACTTTCATCTTCTTTATCAGAAAAGACCATGCAGAAACAAAACATTTGTCCACAGTGCAGCCTGGGACTATTTTTTTATAGACCATCCTATTAGAATTGTCTGCTGAACTCTACCGTTGGTCAAGTTCATGGCGTTATCTCAAGCCTATCTGATTTAATTATTTTTTAAATATATTTTTATTGATTTCAGAGAGGAATGGAGAAGGAGAGGGAGATAGAAACATCCATGATGAGAGAGAATCACTGTCCAGTTTCCTCCAACACTCCCCATACTGGGGATGGAGCCCACAACCGGTCATGTGCCCTGACCAGGAATCAAACCGAGAACTCCTGGTTCATAGGTCAATGCTCAACCACTGAGCCATGCCAGCCAGGCAAGCCTATCTTATTTAAACCAATGATCTTCACTTTCCAACTCTAGAACATAGTAGGCACTCAAAACATTGAAGCATTAAAGGGATGAATTCCTTAATTCATTCAACCCATATTTATTGACTACTATGCTCCAGGCATTGTTTGCACGAGGACCATGGTCGGCAAACTGCGGCTCTTTATCTCCTTGAATGTGGCTTTTCCTAAGCCTTAGGAGTACCCTAATTAAGTTAATAACAATGTACCTACCTATATAGTTTAAGTTTAAAAAATTTGGCTCTCAAAAGAAATTTCAATCATTGTACTGTTGATATTTGGCTCTGTTGACTAATGAGTTTGCCAACCACTGCACTAGGACAACAACACACAAGTTTTTTTTTTTTTTAATCCTGACCTCATCAAGTTCACATGATAATGGGAAGAGATTCTCCATACACAAAATAAATAAATAAAATGTGTAATGAGAGCAATAAGTGCTAATGAGAAAAGTAAAACAGGGAAGAGTAATGCAGAAATTGAGGTGGTATGACATGCATGAAGAGGTGTTGAGGAAGCTCACAGGAACCTATTTGCATCCTAGAAAGAGTTTGTGCTCAGGAGGAAATTCAGGGTGTCCATGACCCTAGGACAGTGGTTCACATTTGGTGGCAAAGGGCAACTGTGCAAGCAGCCCACCTGTGTGCTTGAGCCTAAATCCCAGGGAGAAAAGCCTCCATGGGACAGTTTGAGTAGCCTCTCCTTGAACAAGGCCGGAGACCTGCTTGGAAACTATGGGATGGGATAGCCAATATCCATGGATGGGAGAGTTTTCCTATCCCAGCTTCCATTTTGAGCACTGAAACGCCTCCCCACTCAAATTTATGGGACCCTTTGGGCAGGAACAGCAGCTCCAGGAACTCAGGGAGTCTTGGCCTAATGCAGTTCTGGATGTAGCACCAACAGATGGTGGCACCTTTGTGGACCTGTTGGTGAAGTCATAGGCTTCCCCACTGCTCTGTAGCACTAGAGGGAAGGGAGTAGATTCCACACTAAGCCAACCATGAATTGGGGAAAAGTGTGGAATCCCAGACAGGATTTAGGGAACTAGGGAAGTGAGGCATGAGACTCTGAAGGACCCACATATTCAGTGAGATCCAATACAAAGTTTCATGTAGTCTGAGAGACACAGGGTATACAAAGTCATATAAAGATTTAATTAACAGAAAGCAGTATTTTAAAAAAAATAAATCTGTAGATTGCATATGGAATTCGGAAACCCTGCCAAATCCCAGTCTGGTAAATGTCAACCAACAGCTTTATTACGTCTTAACAAAGGATCTTTTCAATATGTGCTGAAGGTGCTTGGGGACTAGACTGGGGAATTCTTGGCATAAATGTCAGAGCTGTTGTGGCTGACTCTGACTCATGTCCATATTACTGGACAATTCCATCACCCAATTAAGCATTCCAGTGGCGCCTTTCACTGTCACACCTAAATTGTCAATGATGCTATCTATCTATGTGTAACCAAAATAAACCATGAGCCAGTTGCAAAACTGTCCCAGTCCTACAAAAGTGATTAGTGACATGGAAAATGTTCTTGTGATTTAATCCATGTAGTTTATAATGCCTCTTTCCCATTATGAAGATGGCCATTTGGAAACCCAAGTGATCTTTCTAGAATGTGAATCTGATCAAGTCGTTTTCCTCAGAAAAGAGCCCTCACTCTCTGAAATGCCTCTCAGGGGTCATCACTTAAAGGAATCCCCCCTCCCACCACTTCACTCCATCTTCAGGGCTTGTTTTCATTGAGAACAGTCTTCTCACAGCAGCCATCACCCATTGTCATTACTATTCTATAGTCTGCCTTCTCTGCCTTCTCTTCATATTAGCTTATGAAGACAAAGACTGATATATATATATATATATTTGGTTTAACATGGTGCTGGAACTTAGTAGATACTTAAAATATTTCTTCAGGAAATGAATAATGAAAGGACCAGAATCTTTTAAAGTCACTAGTTTGGGGTAGTAAATCTGGTGTTTGGCTGGAGGTATATGTGTCTTTCGGGGTCTGGCCATGCTGAGCTGAATGCCTCACTGAGCTCTGCTTTCTCTATTGGCACAAAGAGGAAACACGTGCCACCAGTGGAGAGAGATCAAAAGAGTCTATTACTCCATTTAGGGTCTGACAAAAATTTGGCCAAAAATTCCACTAAAATGGCTTCAAAGGCATTTCATGCATTTATTATAGTCAATACAGAAATTTGAACAAAAATTCAGGATGTTACATTTACACATGCAAGGAAAATGTCAATATTTTAAAATCCAACCAAAGTGGGAACCCTTTGATTGGTTTTTCTAGAGGTGGAGTGGTCACTTATTCAAGAACTCACTGAACTCACTGATATACACAAGTCAAGAAAATGTAATTCTTTAAAATTTCCCTCAATGACTTGATTATGTCACCAGACAGTACTAAAATGAGGCCCCAAAGATAAGAGAACCAGAAAAGCCTTTTCTGTAAATATACCTTCCTCCATGATTATCATAATCTTAGGGTTCAATAACTCATGGAATAAGTTGGGAGAGATCCTCAACCCATTTTCAGACAAGCAAACTGAGGCACAAAGGTGTGATAGGTGGGAACTGCTCAGAGTCATGGGTTTATCCCTGCACCTCCTCTGTGACTCTGAGCCTTGCTCAACCCCATTTGCTTAGGGAGAGGCAAGCTTGCCACAGAAGAGAATGGTGTTGGTGCCAGTGTGCCTTATGAAGAACAGGAAAGGGTGGTTCGCCATGAACTGAGCTCGGATGGGGAGTCTTTTCATGACGAAGTTGTCCCCAGTGGCTGCTGCTGCCTCCGTGCCCTCTTCGTTGACATCCACATATGACTTGTGGATGACCTTTGATAGATACAGGCCCTTGGCTGGTGACATTCCAGACAGATCAGCTTTACTCTGGTGGAAGACATCTGTCATCCCGAGGGATTTTAGCAAGGAATTCAGCTCATACTTGATCTCCAGTTTGAATCGGGGCAAATGGACTTCGACATTCCTTTCCATCATGTTGGAGGAGCTGGTCCACTTGTGAAACATCTTCGAGTTCAGCCGCTTCTCTATCTAAGAGACAAAACACAGATGGACCCACACGAGCCAAGCACACACCTCTGCATTTTGTAATTCTCAGAGTGAACTACTCAATTCCACTGACTTCTTTTCTACCTTTAAACTGTGCTCAAATTTTATCTGAAAGAGAAAAGAATCCTGCATTCATCCACATCTTCTATTTTCTATTGTCTACTTCTCATTGACATTTTATAATTAAACTTATCCAATGTGTGTTAATTCATTCCCTCAGTGTGTCGGCTTTACCAAAACTCTCTCTAATGCCTCAGCAATTGTGTTCTCATTTTCTTGAAGAACTCAAGTACTTCTTGGTTCTCATATCTGAAACATTTAATAGCAATCTCCATTATGCACTTGTTTGTTATTTGGCTTCTGTGACATGGGGACTTCTTGTTCCACTCCACTTTAATCTCCTCCTGCCCCACTCTTAAAGCTGACCTCTGGGTGCCTACACTTAGCAAGTCAACTCCCACATCCCTGCTCAGATTTCCCAATGCAGCCTCACAACCCTGGCTTATTTTCCACCCAGTTCCAGATGTTTTTGTAAACTCTTCACACTTCTGTCCTCGGACATTTGAAACTCTCTACAGGTCTCCCCACTAGCATGTCAAACCCCATCATTCTTCTCCTGCAAGAGTTGAAGACTTTTGGGTCACCTCACCATCCTGACAATATCAGGTCAGTGGTTTCTATCTTTTCCTTCTGTCTGTTTGTGCCCTGATCCAAGTTACCACAACTTCATGACACAAAATCATCTCGCTGCCTCATACTTCTAAGGCCTTTGCAGGTGCTCTTTGCTCTGGTTAGAACACAGAGTAAAGAGCACCTGTGTGTGTGTGTGTGTATGTGAGCTACTGCAAGGGCCCAGAAGCTAGACTGGTCTCCTAGGCAACAGTCATGCTGGCAGAGCACTGGAAGGTCTCAGCAAGGCTGGGAGGAGCCATAGCAGTGTCTTGCCTGCTCTGTGCTAGGCCGCTCTGATGGCAGCCAGGGAGGGGGGATCATATTCAAACTCAGACCACCACCCTGAACTCTTCTCAGTGACTGTGGCTGTCATTTCCCCACAAAACCAAGACACTAAACATGGTGGTTGGCCCACAAAAACATGCGACTTTTGGGTCAGCAGTACATCTCCCTGCTCCTGAGAGGAAGATGACTTCATTAGATGTCCACAGACTGGAAGCTCGACTTGCATTATAATTTCATTACGAAGGTGTTTCCCAAGTGTCAAATGATCAATATGTGTGTGTCTGTGTGTACAGCATAGCCCTTTTGTTACCAGATGCCTTTTTAAATATAACACTAGGTTGTTTTCCCTAAATACATTATCCTGAAGGCCGGGGCCAGGAATCCTCCCTTTCCTCTCACAGTCCCTAGGGCAATGCTGCTAAATCAGCTTGTGATCGAATTAGTGCTGGCTGCACTGATATTGTGGAATACACACAGTGTGGGGGGCGCGCGCACGCGCGCGCGTGTGTGTGTGTGTGTGTGTGCGTGTGTGTGTGTGTGGTGCACATGCACGCGTGCTTTTTCTGCTGTCGGCATTCCTGTAACATACCTGTTCTAGAGTCACTGTGCCCATGGGAAGCAGGATGATCATGCTTAGTTTGTCCTGCACGTAGGGCAGCTCAAGCACTTGCATCTGCGGCTCCTTTATGACGGCCAATTTAAACCTTCCCACTTGATACATCATTTCCACAATTACGCTCTTACCCTATGTTTTTGAAAGATTGTAATTAGACAATAGCTAAACATGTGTGTGCACATGCATGTGTACTGATTTTCTTGCACGACAAATATCTGCACTAACACTCTAAATGCGTGGGTAAAATATCAACTATAAAACACACATTTATTACTTTCTTATGCAAAGGTTATGACTCTATATTCCAAAATAAGTCCTAGTGAGAGCCAAATTGTTTGAATAATGAATATAGTAATAAAAACAATAATATAGATGTTCCCCCCCCCAAAAAAAAAGCCAGGGTTTCCCGATAAAATGAGTTATATAGGAAAATGGTATCATAGGATCGTTTCCTTTTTAATTTAATTGGATATTTTTTAGGAGAAAAATAATAGTTGTGTTGTGCCACTAAAGGAAATAGCCACAGCATATATGGAGAACAGCCGGAAGAGAACAGGCTTTCTCCTCTTCCAGGACACCCTAGTGTCTGAAGGCTTCATTCAGGTGCCTGTGAGAAAGGTTATGGTCACTTCATAGGGAAAAATGAAAATAAAATTCATAGACTACACAGTTAAAGGTACCTACAGAGATCTAGAAGAGTATTTCCACTAAAACTTCCTAACCTGGATTCTAATGTGCAGCCAAGGTTGAGAACCACTGAGTTAAGTGAACCTGAAGGAGCTCAGCCAGGTGTCTAGACCTCAGGCAGTGGGGTTGATAGAAGTCAAAGCATTCAAAGGTACTTGGGAAGTAGACACACCTGCCCATCATTTAAAAAAAAAAAAACTTCCTAACCTGTCTATAAAAATTATTGTAGTCTCCAAAATTTATCATCGGTCTGAAAATGAAACACGTACCTCACTTAGCCGAAAAGGGGTTTTAATCGTCTCTCTTTCCAGAAATTTATTTTGCCATTGTCCTTTGAAATATATGGCATTCACCAGGACCATCACAGAAGAAGGGTCGATTGTGCCCTTTCCAAAGAGGTTTGTAATTTTTCCTTGTAATAAGAAAAAGAATAGATAATAGATTTGGATTTAAACTTATTGATAATAGTTAAATAGTCACAATAGCTACCATTAAGTGATATGTGTATAAATAAATACCCAGCATGTGGATCCCTAATGCACACCCATGGCAGATAACAATAATCAATCTATTCATTTATGCTAAAAAATATTTTAAGAGACTTCTATGTGCCAGGCACTGTTCTAGGCACGAGAGCAATAAACTGAGGCTAGAACACTAAACTAAACAAACAAACAAAAATCCCTACCATTCTTAACATCCTAGTGACTCCATTGTGGGCTTTTTCAGGTAACCTTAGTTTAAGTCTCAGACTCTTTCTCACCTCAGAGTTCCCAGGCAGCCACTAGCAGTAGATCAGAGTTGGCATGTGAGATAAAATATATTTTCCTCTACTGTTCTAAGTAAATTAACATGTCTAAAAAATGTGTAGAATTTTCCATGCATTTTCTAATAGTACGAAGACCTGAATTGATACATATTTTAATCTGGTTACCTATTATTGAATTTGAATGACATCCATCAATTGACAAGATACTTTTGAGAAGTCACTGCTGTTAAATGATATAATAGATACAAATATGTTAGCATAAAAGTCAGAGAAATCTTAAGGTCTGGGAACGGGGTGGGTTAGTTTCTGGGAGAAGACACGAGGGTGACCCTGGAGTGCCCTTCCCAGTAACTAATATTTTGTTTTCCTGACCTGGGTGGTGGTACACCAGAGTATTCATCATAGTGATAATTCACTGAGCAGCAAACACATCATGTATATACTTTTCTAAATATACGTAAATTTCAATCAAAAAGTTTATTTAAAAACTCAAGCTCTAAGGAACATATTAACCAATTGCAATGTGCAAACATTATTTGGGTTCTGATTCAAACAAAAAAAGAGGCAACTGGGGGAATACAAAAGCTCACTAAATATTTGTTAATTTTAAATGATTTTTTTAATTTTCTAGGTGTAATAATGGTATAGTGTTCATAATTTTTAAAAGCTTATATTTTTAACAGGCACAAACTGAAACATATAGAGAGAAAAAAAATATTGGAATTAGCTCCCAAATAATCTGAAAGAGGTGGTGGGTAAAGGGCATGGCTATCTTAAATAATATTGGCTTAAGTAATAAGTCTTGCAGCTGAGTGATGGATGAATAAGGATTCCTTCTAGTTTCTCTTTTTTCTTTAAATTTTTCCTTAAATAGATTTTTTAAAAGAAATGAACACATCTCTGACATGAACATTTAATGTTCCATTTTTAAAAAAGAAATATTTAACAATACATATAGGGTTTGTTTTAAAATCGGGAAAGGTAGATTTAAATTTAATTAAACTTACTGGCAGAATGTATGACAACATCTCTCTAATGTAGAAACAGTGTTCTTTTCATTCTCAGAGTCACTTAGCTAGATCATTGAGGACAATGGCTAAAAGACATTTTCCAAAATATTCCCCCACTTCCTCCACTGTTAATTTGTTGTGTCTGTTTCTGGACCTCACCCTGCTTCCTCGTTAACACTGCCTCAGGGAGTTTACCAGCACAAATTAAGTTTGTAGACATAAATGTGACTTATCCTTACCATTAGTTTTGCTTGCAACCCAAGCATTAATAGTTTTCCTGGTTTCTTCCGTAGACTTTTGAAAATCAACAGCTTGAAGCCTGGCTTGATACAGTTTCTCAGAACAACTTAAATATTGCTGTAAAAGAAAGGATAACTGCATGAGAACACAAAAATAATGTAAGGAAAACAAATACTTCCAGTTCGATGTATTGTAAAATTATAACAGACAAAAGCAGTTTGTGCATATATGTTGGAAAGGAAGCAGAATCCATACAAAGACATTTAGTCAAATCAAAGAACTTTCCCAAAGAAATGTTCAGGAAGTTTTGGTTGCTACTTCTGTCATCTCATGGGCATTCTTAACTTCAAAATGTTCAAAGCAAAATGACAAATTGTGGTAGAGTGCCTACCTTTTCACTCTATCCTTCCAATTTCCTCTTCAAAGGACACAAAAAAATGGGAGTTACTGCTCTAATGTTCCACATAGGAAAACTGAGAACCGGAATGGTTAAATGGTTTCCTTGTTTGAGGTCTAACAAAAGGTTAGGTCTCTATATGGTATATTTCAACTTCCTCATGAGCCACCATAAGTTAAATTAATAATAATATTCTCTGATGACATTGACATTTTTTTCAACTTTATGTAAAATCACACTGGTCAAACAAAAGTTAAGACACTGAAGCCAGCAGATTAGCTCAATCACAGCAGGATGACGTAGCAATGAAAAACAGGAATATGGATTTGGACAGGGATCAAATTCCAGCTTTGCCACTTAATTATCTCTTTGACCTTTCCCAACTTGACTTTTTATTATTTGCTTCACAACTGTGGTATTAATGACAATTTTGTACCTGCATCTTAGGATTATGTAAGAATTATATAAGACTAGTAGCCCTGCGCACAATCCATGTGCCAGTAGCTCTCTGTGGGGCCTGGCCGCTCTGCGCCAGCTGCCCAGAGGCTCTCTGCAGCCCAGAGGCCCATCCACAGCCAGGCACGGAACACTTGCCTTGTCACTGGGGCGACAACGCAAGTGTTTCCCCCCACCCCCACACCGCTCCATGCCCACTGCCCAGAGGCCCTCCATGGCCAGGGTGACAAAGCAAGCATTCCACCAGGCCACTCACGCTGCCCACTCTTAGCGGCCACCCCCCTGGGACTGGCAGACTCGGGCGGAGCTGAGAGGACTGGGCGCCACCATCTTGTGGCTATGGGCACTGCCATCTTTGTGACAGAGTGATGGTTAATTTGCATATTACCCTTTTATTAGATAGGATTATTAGATAGGATAATGTCTATAATGTATGTAGTAGAGTGATTGACACATAGTAAATACTCAATAAAACTCCATATTCCAATGCTACTGGGAAATGGCATAAATAGTGTTAGAATTTTGTAGCAAAAGAAAAAAAAACGCTTGATTTAATCCTCTCATTTTAAAGGTAGAAGTGACTTGCTCAAAGTCATATGTCTAAAGGAGAACAGAACTCAGATCTCTTGGCTCCCAGTCCAGTGTACTTTCCACTAATTCTTAATACTCTGCCTTTTAGGACCTTTGAAGAAGAGATGAGAAATGGATTTTTGGGGTTTTTTTCTGGTCCATAAGGGTTAATTCTTACCTGCTTTATTTTGTGCTTCATCCCTAACTGGTTCTTGGACAACTTTGGTGATATTGCATAAGTAATGTTTTTTATGTTATATTTCATAACCTTAAATGGGGGATTGGTGAAACCATTTCATTGAAACTCTAACAGGGTTCAAATTTAATCTCTTAAAGATAAATGTGACTCTTTTCATTTATGATTTACTTTTTGGTGTGAAATTCAGAGGATGACAAAGAAAGCTGTTGACCACCATTCCAAATGGACTTACCTGATAGAATGCCTTTGTCTGTGTCCCGTAGAGTCTGTTAGCAATGCTGAGGGTATAGTTAGAGTCTGGCTGGTTGATTTGAGAGAATAGGGCACCAAACTCTGAGTGAATCCTTCCAGTTTGGCTGCACTAAAGCACAGTAAACAAAGAATATAGTATTAAGTTGCTGGATTAAATTACTTGATTTATAGAAGAGTTACAAATAACATGAAAACAACAGAGACTTGAAAGCATTTTTCTTCTCTAACTTCCTCTGGCACAATAATCTCAGCTCTCTGTGACCCTGGTTACAGATTGTGTGCAGAACTGAAAGCTATTGCAAAAGCACATGTACTTCCAGCCCCAACATTTTAATTCAAAACTTGAAGTTATCATATATAAAGAGATCCTAATTGGATATTCAGGGCAATAATCCAAATTTTCTGTGCATTTTTTTCTGCCTTTGTACCTAGAGAATCATTTCTATTTTCTCTCACACTCCTTTCAATATCTCCGTTTCTGTGACCACTTAATAGATCTCTTCAGCCCCTCCCTGAACTGACCTTCCACGCCCATCTGTCCCTCATAGGAGGAATCTGGTTAAGCATGCAGCTTTGATGCATTGGAATTCATGGACAGTAGAGGGGTTATGCCTATATTCCCTAAAGTAAAGATTGCCTAACAATAAATTAGGTTCTGTGAGACAAGTATTCTGTGAATCTATACCCATTTATATGCTTTCTGTTGGTCACAATCAACACACAACTATTGTCATATGGGAGTTTTGTATACATTTCATTTCTAAAGAAATGCTCTTACTGAAAGGAATTAAGATCAGCTGGGCTGGGCAGCATAGAGCCCTGTTTTCCTGGTGTATAATTATGTGACAAAGCCTCCATGTCTTTTCTCAGTCCCCTCACTAGTTTGAAAAATGTAACACTGCACACGGCAGGCTCAACATGCACACAGTTTGTAAAAGAACAGAAAAGCTTGATGACAGTAAGTCACCTGATAAAATCTGGGGATTTTATTATTGTCGTCATTATCATTATGTTAACTCTGTAGGCTAGCAGTTATAAGGAAGATTGAAGGAGGAAACCAAGGAGGACATTGTAAGCCTCCTGAAGGAACAAAAAGGGGCTCTGCTACTCAACCCCTGCACCATTATCTCTTGGTGCTCTCACAAAGAGCGCTTGACAGCTCAGCAGTCATACCTTAGCTGAGTCCTTAAACTTTGGCTTTAATGATTCTGCAATATGATTAAAGTGAAGCACCTAGAAAATGAAAGAAAAATCAATTGGCATCAAAAGCAGCATATAGTCCATAAAGATTAACAGTTACAAGTACCTGTTTTTCCATTTCAGATAAAGACCAATGCAATAGCTAACATTTAAAGATGTTATATTTATAAGCCTTTACATATCTTACTTAACTCTCCCAGCAACTTTATGAGTAGATACTATTATCCCCGTTTTTTGTGAGAGAAATTGAGCCAAAGAAAGATTAAGTGACATGCCTGGGACCATTGTCTGTGAGAGTCCAGGGATTGAGTTATCATTCACTAGACCCTGCTCCCCTCTCCTTCTTTTCTCACACTATTCACTGTGACAGAACCCATCCAGGGCCATGTAAAGCATTACATGGTTTTCCAGCACAATACCTATTTTAAATGCAAAAATAAATCATGAAAGCGCATCAAAATATGGAATAAAGAAATAAAAGACAAATAATAATGGAATGTGCAAGTATCCTGGAAGTTGTTGAATGACATTCTTCTAGGATTTTCACATCAATAAACTTCATATGTAATGAAAAACTACTATATATCAGCCTGTGTAACCTGAAAAGTCACCCTCAGCCTAGGTAAACTGAAAAGTCACCCTTTCTCTCTTAGCCTCAGTTTCCCCAACTATGAAATAAGGATAACAATAGCTACTTGCCACACAGGGTTATTATGACATTCAAATACATTAAAGAATTTTTTAAAAACTCAATAATTCTTAAAGTGACATTAAATTGTATTATAAATTAAACTTCTAGAGGGCAAGAATAATATCGTATATATACTTTCTGTTATGTTTAAATCATTGAAAGGATGAACTCTAAAAGTAATTGTGGAAATGTATGTATGAAACTACCAATGGTGAGGAAGAGACTGTATTACATGTATTGCATTATTATATTACTAAAGGCCCGGTGCACAAAATTTGTGCATGGGAAGGATGGTCTCCTCAGCCCAGCCTGTGCCCTCTCCAATCCAGGACCCCTTGGGGGATGTCGGACTGCCGGTTTAAGCCTGATCTTGGGAATCAGGCCTAAACCGACAGTCGGACATCCCTCTCACAATCCTGGACTGCTGGCTCCTAATCGCTCACCTGGCTGCCTGCCTGGTCGCCCCTAACTGCCCCCCCTGCTGGCCTGGTGGTCCCTCATAGACCCCTGCCAGCCTGGTCGCCCCACTCAGCCTGCTGTTCAGTCGTTTGGTCATCCCCGCTGCCAGCCTGGTCGTAGGCAGCCGTCTTGTGAGGGCATGAGGGTTAATTTGCATATTACCTCTTTATTATATAGGATAATGTATTACATTATTTAAGTCATTATCCACTTTTTTAAAAAATATATTTTATTGATTTTTTACAGAGAGGAAGGGAGAGAGATAGAGAGTTAGAAACATCGATGAGAGAGAAACATCGATCAGCTGCCTCCTGCACGTCTCCTACTGGGGATATGCCTGCAACCAAGGTACATGCCCTTGACCAGAATCGAACCTGGGACCTTTCAGTCTGCAGGCCGATGCTCTATCCACTGAGCCAAACCAGTTTCGGCTCATTATCCACTTTTAAGAAATATGATTTGCCCAAGTGTGTTCTTTCACAAGATGGCAGTTTTCTTGGTGTAAAGATATAAGTAATTTGGCTGACCCATAGGGGGGCACAAGTAAAACTTCCAGACTCTGGGGACATCTTTGGTGCATTCCTTACCTTTTCCATTTGTTCTGCACTGTTTCCTCTGGCACCAAGGAGGATCATACTCAGAGCATAAAGCAAACTCAGTGGGGAAAAGAAGATATTATCTTCCACATGGTTATTGTTCAGCTCTTTGAACACATCAAGGCAAAATTCAATGTTTGCTGTGCTGAGGGAATCCATTTTATGACCAGCACTACCTGAGAACAGAAAAGAAAACAGCTCAGAATATTACTTGCAGATATAGATAATACGTGGAGTTTAGTTATTAATTTCAGGAATTAAAGAGCCTGAGCACACTGCTTCAGAAATTAGAAAATGCTAGAGAGGGGAATTCACAGTAGTTTTAGATTCTAATGAATAGAAGGTTTACTATTCATTTCAACCAATACTTCAAAGCTATCATTTGTGCACATCTAAAAGTGATCTGATTGTTCTGGAGCAAAAGAGCAGAAGGAATTAGATCTTTGTGCTCTGAATTTTCATGTTTAACAACACTCCCCACCCTGGAATTTGTACAGAAAAATTCTTGAGCTGCATAGACTCAGCTAAATGAGGTACTTTCCCACTAGACTGTCCACTGTCACAAGGAGAGAACACTTGCATCCTGGTCATTCATGAACAAACAAGGTGAGAATCAGTAAGACAAACTCAGGCAAACTTCTCTGCTCATTTCCTCCATGAAAGTAATGCAATACTAGCAAACAGGTCATGCCATAAGGTGCCCAAAGCCCTCAGCCCTGGGCCGCAGCCATGATGTCAATGAAAATGAAGGACTGGAAGAAGAAAATCTGAGAGAAAAATATAATTCTGGAATATGTGTTATCTAAAGACAATGTTTTGTCAGGAAGGAAGAGTTTATTTTATTCAGTCCCATAAACACTTATTGAGCAATCCTAACTAAAAGGGGTTGGAGATACAAAACTTATTGAGCACAGTTCTTGCCCTTGGGGAGGTGTCATTCTCCAAAAACCTCCACTGGCATCAAACACTTTCTTCCTTTAACCTCTAGGTCATTGTTTTTTCTTGGTTCACCACCTGCCTCACTGGGCCAGTCCTTCTTGGTCTCATTTGCAGAATCTAAAATCTTAGTCCTCTCCTCTGTTTACACTCAGACAGGTGATCTCACCCAATTTCCAGCTTTAATTGTCACTGATATGCTTTTAGCTACCAAATTTATATTGCCCTTGAATTCCAGATTCATATATCTAACTACCTACTCAACATCTCTACTTGAGTGTCTAATATGAATCTCAAATTTAACATGTCCAACAGCAAACTCGTGACTGCCTGAACCTCTCTCCAGCATACACCCCTAGCAGCTATCTTGATCTTTGTAAATGGCAGTTCAATTTCTTCATTTGCTCAGACTGAAAACTGTGGGATCATCCTTAAACACTTTCTCATTCACATAACATTCCATCTATCAAAAAATCCCTTTTTCTCTGTCTTCAGAAATACTCACCATCTACCCATTTTTCACACTCTCCAGCTACCACCCTGGTCAAAACTATCATCATCCCCCTCATGGATGATGTCATCTCCCAATTCATTTTCCTACTTTAGTCCTGACCCACCTCCATTATATTTTCTAGAGAAGATAGAGTGATGTTTTTAAATACCAGTTGGTCATGTACTAACAGCAGAACTGCTTATGGCCTTTGCTCAAAAACCCTAGCGGCTTCCCTTTCTTTCAGAGCAGAGGCCAGACTCCTTCATGATCTGGCCCTGACAACTCTCAGTCTCATCTGCTACCAGCCTCCCCACCAGCTCCCTCTGTTCTAGTCATATCAATGCCCTGCATTCCTTTAACATGCCAAGCAGATTCCACCTCAAGGCTTTTGCATGTTCTATTCCTCTGCTGGGATGCTCTTCCCAAAATTATCCAAATGGCTCACTCCAGCAGTTCATTTCTCTCTCTGCTCAGATAACACCATCAATAAGGCTTTCACTGGCCACATTTCTCCAGTTTCAGTCCATTACAATAGTGTATACATATATATGCACAGTTTTACTTATTTGCCCTATGTATTATATATGCACAGTGTACTTATTTATTTGCCTTATATATTATATATATTGATATAAACATAAATAAACTATATATACATGAATATATTATAGTGTATGTTATATATTATACATGTATTTATTGTCCTGAAACCCCCTTCCTTTAGAGTACAACCTCCATTAACAAAGACTTTGTTTTTTATGCTTTATTTCACTATCTAGACCAGTCCTGGCTAGCCACTCACTAAACATCTATGGAAGGAAGAAATTTCAATCAAATTAACACTAGGATATACAGGTATGATAAGGTGTCAGCAAAAGCCACACTTGATTAAAGAATAAGCTGCCCCTCATTTGGTTCACTACAACCCTGTCCAAATGCCATATTTTGCTACTCTGATCTGTTCCCCTTTGACAACAAGCACAGCTGGAGCTCTTTACCTTTGTTGCTTTCTGGTGGTGAAGTGGACAGTTTGGTAGGTGAGATTGGAGCTGCGTCCCTGAAGAGGAAATATAAAGCCTTCACTTTTTGCCCCTCCCTTTCCATTTGTGTCCTTAGTGATTCAGCTCCACACTTGCTGGGAGGTAAGTTCAGCCCTCAGAGGAAGGCTCCTTAAATGTCATCAGAGCGGCTTTGAGTCCCTGAGATTCTCAGGATGGCCAGTGTTTTCTGGAGAAGCACCCAGTTCTTGAACATTCTCTGCTCTGCTAAAGGGGAAACATTGGCAAGCTAACCTCTATTCAAGAAAATAAGCCAGCTGTCTAAAAAGAATAATGTGTACACATTCAAGTTGGCAGTGCCATATTCCACATCCCAGGGATTGCCCATGTCCACTTGTAGGCACAGAGCTACTCAATGGGAAAGATTCTGGCCGTGATGGACGCTTCCTGGCCCAAACACATTCGTTCCTAGATCTTTTGTGCCCTCCTCCATGGAGCATAGGTTTTTACGTGGAGCTTCAGCAATCTGCTGGCAGGTAATTCCTGTCCCATAAAAAGAACAGAAGAATGAGCTCCAGCAGGAGTTATTCTGTGGTTTCAGTTTAAAAGCTTGGTAGAAGCAACAAGCCAACCGTACTTAAAGTGAGTTCAGAAGTATGATTCAAGACTGTGTAAAAGAGATTATAGATTAGGGGTAGGGATGCAAGCTGGAGACAAAAAAAAAAAAAATGTCTGCTGTATGCAGTAGCCAGAATCAGCACTATGTGACAAGCCCAGCTTACCAAACCATTCTTGTCCACATTACCCACAGCCCATCCTCCTGGGTTGATTCCACTGCCCAAAGGTAAGCTCTGATGGCTGAGTGCACTGCACTGAGGTTATAAAAAAAAGCCCTTCATGGCCGGTGACTTCTCTCTTCTTCCTCAGCAGGCAAGGTGTCATCCCTGGACAAAAGGAAACCACTCTACTAGACATGAGAACTAGAAAAGTTAGATTTAAAATGATGGCCCTAATAGCCACTTTGCACATAAAAATACCTGTATGCAACCAACCATAGAACTAAAAGGAGTCCAAAATCTGTCCAGTCTTTCTGTGCTCAGAGCGAGTGTTTTTAGATGTGAGCCAATTCCAGCCAGAGATTTCCATGGCTTGGAAACCTCATATCAATGCATAAGGCCAATCCTACACCTCTTCATATTGTTTTCATCTCCCTTGAGGTCTAATTAAAAAAGGACTGATTTTCTTAGCTTCCTTGCTAACTAAGAAGGGCTGATCAAAGGAGGTCTTTTTCATCCTTGGTCTATACTGTACTCTTGTTATTTTCCTTATCAGAGGGGAAGCTCTTGGGCTCATTTTTTAAAAATATATTTTTATTGATTTCAGAGAGGAAGGGAGAGGGAGAGAGAAATAAAAAACATCAATGATGAGAATCATTAATCGGCTGCCTCCTGCATGCCCCCTAATGGAGATCGAGCCCACAACCCAGGCATGTGCCCTTGGCCACAAGTGAACACGGGACCCTTCAGTAAGCAGGCAGTTGTTCTATCCACTGAGCTAACCAGCTAGGGCAGTGGTCGGCAAACTCATTAGTCAACAGAGCCAAATATCAATAGTACAACGATTGAAATTTTTTTTGAGAGCCAAATTTTTTAAACTTAAACTATATAGGTAGGTACATTGTTAACTTAATTAGGGTACTAAGGCTTAGGAAGAGCCACACTCAAGGGGCCAAAGAGCCGCATGTGGCTCACAAGCCGCAGTTTGCTGACCACAGAGCTAGGGCTTTTGGACCCATTTGATTTTTCTTTCCAGGTGGAAGGACATCCATTATAGAGCACTGTTTGCCTCTCTTTACTCTCTCATTCACTCAGTGTTTTAGTCTTAGACCAGTGGTTCTCAACCTTCTGGCCCTTTAAATACAGTTCCTCATGTTGTGACCCAACCATAAAATTATTTTTGTTGCTACTTCATAACTGTAATGTTACTACTGTTATGAATTGTAATGTAAATATCTGATATGCAGGATGGCCTTAGGCGACCCCTGTGAAAGGGTTGTTCGACTGCCAAAGGGGTCGCGACCCACAGGTTGATAACTGCTGTCTTAGACAAAGTCTTGCATGCATGTAATTTACTTGGGAAATTATCTCAGGAAATAGAAATAGAAGAAACAGGAAAAGTTATACAATAATTGTTAGAAGTTGGCCACTGGTATCTGATCCCATAGACCAGTGGTTGGCAAACCATTAGTCAACAGAGCCAAATATCAACAGTACAACAATTGAAATTTCTTTTGAGAGCCAAATTTTTTAAACTTAAACTATATAGGTAGGTACATTGTTATTAACTTAATTAGGGTACTCCTAAGCTGACCTTTGCTAAAAACGTCCTCAATCTGATTGAGATACGTTCGCTGAAGTCGACCCCTTCCAACTCTCCCATCCACACTCGTCTTGTATACTTGTTTCATCTATCTCCTTTCAGAAACTGACTTCTGCGCATGGGCCATGAAGTTTCAATCGCACTGTACGTGTGCACCCGCATGGGCTATTTTGTGGAAGAGCCATACTCAAGGGGCCAAAGAACCGCATGTGGCTCACGAGCCGCAGTTTGCTGACCACTGCCATAGACCTTCAGAAGAACCTTATAAAAAGTATCTTGAAACTGCCTTCTCAGTAGAAGAATGAGGGAAGCCTTTGTCTCTTGGCTTTCAGCCATTGGCTTTCATCTCATTGACCTATGAACTCAGGTTGCACTTGTATGGGTACCAAGCATGTGCAACCCACACCAAGGCATCAGAAAAGCTCTGGAGCTGGAAATGAGATGTGAGGGGAGGTGCTGTCAAGTTGAAATGCACAAAATTTAGAGCTTGCGCAGAACCAGTAGTCTTGCTAGCTGCTAGATTAGGAGGGGGGGTAACAGAATTTGAAGTGGCTCAGAAGAGGTGGCCAACACATTTCATCTATGCCATAGCCTGCTGGTGGTTCTGGGAGAGGAGCTTCCCTCTAGATTCCTGATGTAGGTCCTAGCTGTCCTAAGAAAGTGCCCATTCCGGTCTATTCTTTCTGCCCTAGGTTTTCCAGGGCAGCACCCTCCATTGAGATCCCAGTAATTTCCATGACTAGGTTGGATGTATGTCTAACTCTAAGAACCAGAATTAGAAAACCCATTTTAGGCTCATATCTAATCTTGTTTCAACCTGTCTTTTTATCTGTCATAAATATTTTGTTCTCCATCCTCCCAAATTCACTTTCTCTCAAAAGTTTTCAGGATTTGAGTGAGGTAAGAAGTTTTCTTTACTGGGTCTCATAGCCTAGGATAGTGAGCATGGGCTGGAGAGTGGAGTGCAGGCTGGATTTCTGCCCCCAGCTACTCCCTCAGCTCACCCAGGACACCACTAGCCCCACCTGTACTTGCTGGCTTTCATCAGAAGTTAAGGGAGAAGAAAAACCTGGAGGTAACTTGGAGAACTAGGAGGGTATCAGTGATCTTAGCAGACATTGCATAAATGGTGTCCTAAGACATTGTGTAAATAGTGCTCTGTATTTTATCGGGCAGCCCCGCCTATTTGGCATTTTCTTGAGAGACTGTGGTAAATATATATATTTACTGACATTTGTTTGAATTAGATACAGAATTAAGAAAGGTTCACAAGGCAGCTTGATGTGAAGCTGGCTACTAAATTTTTGTAATGAAGGGCAAACTAAAATGACCACCAAGTGGTGGTTGTTAGAGGAAAGAGAGAGAACAATCAGTGGGGAAAGTTATTCAAGAGATGTAAGGGCTAAGACACAATGTGGGAGGAAGAACCAACTTTACACAATGCTATGTGGCCCTTCCCAAACACAAGAGCAGAGAAGGATGAATACGCATTTAAATAAATTTGCACATATAACTGTTACAAATTTTGTCTAGACTGTTAATTCCTCATGGACAGGGACTATGTTTTGCTAAATGCCTGACATGTGGTAAGCACTCAATAACCATGTGTTACAATAACTGGCTATCTTTTTATTGAGAGGAATAAAAAAAGATACAGTTCAGGTTGGGGTAAGGCAAGAGATGAAGGTTTGGAATTGGCCATTTGGAAAACTGGAGGGTAGCCTGGTCAAGAACACACCAAAGGCTTCCTCACTGACTGCAGTTGAGGAGGATCCACACATGATCAGTAATATAAAGTGAGAATGATATTCCAACAAGTAATTTTGCTATGGTTTGTACCTCCTGGGCTTCCCCACAACCAACTTGCAAAACATCCATTTTTTGATAAGATGTTTTCAAAACGGTGGGACTTTTTTCAATGAATCCCTATAACTCTTATTTTCCATTACAGATAGCAATTGCTTCAAAAGAAGTCATGCCATGTGAAAATTAAGAGTTTTGAAAACAACATTTAGAAAACTTTGTACTTAGTTAGCATCTGACAGATACCCAGTTATAACAAAATGGAGTGTGAAGCACAGACTCAAGAAAAATAATCAGCCTTGACTGGTTTGGCTCAGTGGCTAGAGCATTGGCCTGCGGACTTAAGGGTCCCGGGTTCAATTCCAGTCAAGGGCATGTACCTCGGTTGGGAGCACATCCCCGGTAGAGGGTGTGCAGGAGGCAGCTGATTGATGGTTCTCTCTCATCGATATTTCTCTTTCCCTCTCCCTTCCTCTCTGTAAAAAAAATCAATAAAATACATTTTTTTTAAAAAAAGAAAAGTAATCAGCTATGTTACTGTTTTATTTTCCAGGAGGCAGAGAAAGTGCCTTTCAACCATAATAAGCAATCCTAAGGATTAGAAAGATGAATACTTCAAGCCTCGTATAGGTCTCAATACTTTAGTCTGTCTACTTGGAGTATTTCCTCAAGTAAGTCAAAAGGAATTCACTACCTGAAACTTGTCTTTGAGAAATTCTGTAAGTCTCATCAAAAGCCACAATTAAGAAACTAGGTGAGCTGCAGTTTGGGAAAAATATTCACAATGCATATACCTGCAAAAGTGTTTGTATATAGAAAACACAAAGAACTACAACCTCACAAGCTAGTGTTGCTAAGCAGTTAGAGCATCAGCCCAAGCACCAAAGACTCTCAGGTTCAATTCCCAGTCAAGGGCATGTGTCTGGGTTCCAGGTTAGATCCCTGGCCCCGGCCAGGGGTTGTACTGGAGGCAACCAATCAACTTGTCTCTCTCACATCAATGTTTCTCTCTCTCTCTCTCTATCTCTATCTCTTTTTCTCTTCCTCCTCTGTTCCTTCCAACCTCTCTAAAAAGCAATGGAAAAAAATATCCTCAGGTGAGGATTAAAAAAAATAATAAAATAAATGAACAAAATATTTGTATAGGCACTTCACTGACGATTATGTATGAATGGCCAACAAGAACATAACAAGGTGCTCAGCAGGATTAGTCATCAGAGAAATGCAAATTAAAACACAAAGTCATACCACATCACACCCACTAGAATGAGTAAATGAGAAAGATTGACTACAACAAATGTTGACCGATGTAAGGAGCAACCAGGCCTCTCCTATACTGCTGGTGTGAATGCAAAATATTACAACCACTGGGGCAAGTGCCAGCCTCTTAAAAGGAAAATATGCAACTACTCTATGATCTAATGAGTCCTCTGCAAAGTATTTATCCAAGGGAAATGAAAACATATTTCCACAATAAGCCTTGTACAAGAATGTTGATAGTAGTTTTACACATAAGAGCTAACCACTAAATGTCCATCAGGAGGAGAAGGTGTAAACAAACTATGGTGCATCCATACATCGGAACACTACACAGCATTAAAAATAAAGAAACTGCTAATACACATGACAACACTGGGCCCATCTGGAAAGCAACATGCTGAGTCAATGAAGACAGGCCAAAAAATAAAAAATAAATAGACCAGAAACTACACACGCAAGTACATATGGTAACAAAAATGGAAGCAGCGGTTATTTCTCTTGGAGAAGGAAACTTTCTGGAGCACTAGAAATGTTCCATTTCTCAATAAGTGTTACAGCCAAAGGTGATCCTGAGTGGGGGGGAGAGGAGGGGAGAAAGGATTGAGAAAAGACAGACAAGAGAATGAAAGCTGGGTCTCGGTGGGACGCTGCTCCTTGATGAGGAGACAGCACCAGCACCTACAAGCCATGTCTTTATTTTATAGCAGATGCCACGAGGCAAAGTAGGGGCGTGATCAAGTTGTTTACAGCATTCTCATGAGTTTCAACCCTACTCAACTACATGCACCTGAACTCTATCACAAGGCACGTGGGGCCACGTGTTTGGACCATAGGTTCAAGCTTACAACCACAGCCGTTGGCTATGATTGTGCTGGGAGGGCCCTGCCCTCCAGCTGGGACTTGCACATGGCAATGAGAGGACCCTGTCCTTTCATAAGTCCGAGGCTTGAACCTGGCCAAAACACTGTAGCCACACCCCACATAGCCCTTTTTACTTTTGTTTT